GAATTGATTATTCAAAAAATCTCTGACAGTTATACGGTAATGGGCAGGACATCCGTCGTTTTGATAAATGATTTGTCCTCTTACATCTATGAAGGATCCTAATCCAAAATATTGGGTGATTTATTTGTTAAGAATTCTAGATAGTTTTCAATATTCAAATTGTAAGGCAAGAAATATGGACCGACCAGAACTTTGCCTATTATACCTGCCCAAACGTTTACACTGAATTTTCGTTCTTCTGCCCAATAGTGCAGGTTATGAAAGTTATTAATCCCTTCACGAGAAAAGTTCGATTCATCAGTCCACAAAATTCCTCGTAAGAATGTTGGATTGTTCATGTCGGCATTTAGGATCAATCGACAGAGAGTGCTTTTTCGAACTGGGTCTCCTTCTTCGAGTCCTTGCACGGGAGTAAAGTCGCATGGGTGCATTTTTTGAGAATGAAGAACTGACCATACCTTCCATGGAGATAGATCTAGCTGTTCCGCTATTTTTCTGGTGCTACTAGTGGGCTCTGCTTAAAAATTTTCAAGAATTTGCCGATCTACTTCAGGTTTATGTTGTTGATGTTTGCTCTAGGATCATTTTTATGTTAATTGCCAGTTTTGCTCAATCTACGATACACCGTACATGAAAATTATATCAGCATATTCAGCATTCGGAGAAGCAGCCATTTGACAAATTGACAAATATTACAAAATGAACGAAATGATATACAATGATTGACAGCTGAGAAAATTTTGATCAATAAGTTTGTCTGTCGCGTAGCAACAATGTATCTACTCTATTTAGGAACATGTTAAAAAACGAGAATCAAAATATGGGAACTGCATTACATCGATAAACCACACTCGAAATGAAAGAAATGGCATGTAGTGATGGACTATAATATATTGATAAACAGAAAGAAGATGAAGGAAGTTTTTGACGATGTTCGAACGAATGTTCAATTTAAATAACTCCATTTTTTTTGCTTTTGAGGTCAAAGTTGGGTATCACAGAAACTCGTTACGTAAATTCAAATGAGCCACAATTTTTTTGAAATCACATGTAGATCACATTGAGTGTTTTACATCGATCAACTAGGAACTTTACCTTACACGGAAAGAATATTCAATAAGATTAAATGTTTGACAAAACTTTTATTATACCTAACTCATGTGGACCTTTTCATTAAATTCGAGCGAACTCTGGAAATCGATGATATCTCAAAGAGCGGAACAATTTGTATAATAGTGTTCATGGTCAAATCATCCCACCTATCACCTCCTTTCATATATACGTCGGTGAACCAAACACCCTGTATAGCAAGACAAAATCGGTTCAAGTATTGAAACATGAGGAACACCTTGAGCAATGTTAACTCCTCTTGAATATCATAGTTTTTTTCTTCATATGAAACACATACCACCTGTACACGATACAATTCAATGGTATACCGGGTGTCCCATTTTAATCTTTATTTGGAAATTTTTCGAAATGAATGCATCTGACAAAAAAAATTGACGAATAAAAGTTGTATGGTTTGGAGAGGGACGTCTGGTTATGGAACAAGTTTCACCTCCTGACCCCCAGGGGAGTAAGAAATGGAGGTAACATTGAAATCTTCAATGGAAACCCCTATTTTTCATTGCAGATTCTGGAAGATCATTGAAAACTATAAAGCTTTTATTCGGAAACTTCTTTTTAATTTTCACAAGATGGCGCTGCGATCGTAAAAAACAATATTTTACTATTTACACATTTCAACCCCCTGAAGATGAGGAAGACTGTAGGGTGTGATATTTCCCCAGACAAACGCCATTGGGGTGATATTCACACGACAAATTAACGCTAAACGAACTTACTTACCTTGACACCTCTACATAGAAACGAGAAAAATAAGCATGTTTCAGCAAGGTATCATTTAGGTCAGACTGAAGCTGGTTTTAAGTGAGATTGACTACTTTATCAAGTGTTCGAAGTGACCTCCATTTTTTTTGATTACACAAGTTCACTTGTTTTTCAAAATTACGCACTGTCGCTGCCAACATAGCAGGCGTTAAAGCCATGCACGCTCCTCTAATTCTATTTTTCATATTCTCTCGTGTGGTTGGGGGTTCGCGAAACACAATGTTCTTGATGTAACACCACAGAAAAAAGTCTGGGAAAGTCAAGTCGGGTGATCTGGGTGGCCAACTACAAACTAAATAGTAAAATATTGTTCTTCAAGATCGCAGCGCCATCTTGTGAAAATAAAAAAGAAGTTCCCGAATAAGAGCTTCATAGTTTTTAATGCTCTTCCACAATCAGCAATAATAAATAGGGGTTTCCATTGAAGATTTCAATGTTACCTCCATTTCCCACTCCCCTGGGGGTCAGGGGGTGAAACTTGTTCCATAACCAGACGTCTCCCTCCAAACCATACAACTTTTATTCGGCAATTTTTTTTGTCAGATGCATACATTTCGAGAAATTTCCAAATGAAGATTGAAATGGAACACCCGGTATAATGCCTCTAGTGCCATCTCAATCCAGTTTATTTTATAATTTCGTGTTATCGACTGTATCAAATGCGTTTGAGAGGTCGAAATACAAACCTGCTGAGTTTCTTATTTGTTCAACATGCTCAGTCATATATCTAGCTGCAATAACTATTGCTAACCCTGTGGGCATGCCTCGTCTGAAACTAAATTGCTGCTCTGTCAGTATATATTCAGTTGATCAAATGATATAAGCCTATTGTATATTGCACCCTCAAAGACTTTCGATGACGGAGTAAAGAGATTGGATGGTGAATGGTGAATGTTCATGTTATTTTTGAGCCATATTCGAGGAATCTGCCAATTGACAGGCATTCAATGATCATATTCCTCAGGGGATCACGAATGTTTTCACTAATATTCAACGAGGTGTAATATAGTCTACAAATATTCAAGTTGCATCTTATTCAAAATATTGGAGATTTCAGTTCGACTAATTTGGAGCAGGCATATTGTGTGCTGTTTGGTATGGTGAATAAATTGCCGAAAAGCTGAGGAATCTCTGGATATTCCTGATATTGAGAAATGTCTTCATTCAACTATAGTACGCAGCAAATTGCGTACCAGAATCGCATATTGCTGATCTTTCACAAAATGACGATATACTTCCCAACGTCCTACACGTTCTTGACTGGTGATGAAATTGAAAACATATTGAAAGTGAGTCAGAAGTGAATACAAACTTCTTATAACATCTTCTTCATCACGATATTTCGATATATGTCTCAAAGTGCAACTTGTTCGATGTACAGTATGTCCCACTCACCGTGACAGGACTTTAGGTGGGGTTAATTATCTCTCTCCATTCATGTCAAAATCCCATGACCACAGAGGATACAGCCTGACATGATTGAAAGAACAGGGACATGAGTGCACAGGACAGGATTGTTCAAGGAGAAGAAGAAGAAGACAACGGACTTTGTCAGTGTCAGCCGCCAGTCAATAATAATCAGCAATTCGAAAATTGAATGAATTATTGGAACTATTCGGAACTGAGAACAATGACAACGGAGAAAGGATCATGACATATACAATCACAAAATGAATCCGTTTATTCTCAGATACGAATTTCTAGATTCGTTACAAAGATCGGGTGGGTATCGGTATGGAAAACAACAGAAATAAAATGAATTTATATACAGAAAGAATTATAATGGTGGGAAATATTATACAAACTCACATGTGCAACACGAAGTCGCTATACATCAATACACTGACTTTGGATGAAATATGAGTGCACCTGGAGAATAGGAAGAGCAGCAGAAGAGAAACAAGTGGAAAGATCCAAAAGCAAAGAGCGTGAAGAGTAGACAGCGATCCCTCAGCTGTCTTTTGTATCCATACTCCTCATTAACCTCGGTACAAAGACAGCTCAATCCTAGATTCTGATTTTCCGGAATTCCCAACTATGCCTGCAGGAACAAGCATCCAGAAGCACATGTACTCGAACCCACAAGGATAAAAAAAATTATTCATTTCTTAATTGACACATGAACAGAATCTACTACCCTTGCTCATGCAACTGAATAAATTTGACTGGAAAATATCCAATAACCAAGAAGTTATGGCCAGGTAAACATCCATCATTTCGACAGATGAATAATTCATCCAAATTCCATATCATAAGCAAATGGTTGCAGAATACTGAAGTCTTCAGGTATCAACCCTGATGTTTATCGGTGATCACTATCAGAAATAGCTCTAGAAAGTCAGGAATCAATGGATTACTCAGATCTCTCAGGTTTTAGGGTTTCGAGCTTATAAACAAGTGGAATGCAGCTATAATTAGTCTCAGGTATTCATATATTGATCAAAACCAGTTGTTGGTATCATCCTGATTAACCCTACATACTGGAACAAGCATTGGCAACTGAAGCGCATAGCGACGTTTAATTCGTAGTGCGTTTTTTGGCCCGAGCCAAAAATGAGTTCAATTCCTGGCTTTATATGCAATGAGGGCTTCAGCACTTGAACATGAGATTGAACTCATCAAGTTAACATGATGTGAAGAATGATTGAGTTATTGTCTGGTCACTTCCGGCAAATATTCTCATCAACTGATCAAGGAGTGAAGTGAGACAATTCGATTTTTCTCAAATAATTCCATCTTCACCTCGAATATTTTTTGAAATGCAAATGAACTATGTTATCTCTTCGACTTGAATATTGCTTTTAACTCTATATTATTCATAATATCTCCTTTTTGTCCTCCACCTCCTTATTCTCCTCATTCAATACGAGGGCACAAATACTCATATCAAAACTATTGTGATACTCTAATATTGCGAGCATGATGAGAAGAATAATTGATTTATTGTCGAATAATATGGGAGAAATATGTAAAACTACCCCGTTATTGATGGGTTATTTAGATCGTAATTTGATTCCACTCAAATAATGACATTTCCATATCGAATTATCTTTCGAATGCGGATGAATTACGTTCTCTCTGAAACTTGATGAATTTTGGAACCTTACCTCAATCATTATATCTGTTGTCCTTTCTCCGAGAATTTCAATGATATTGTTCTGTGTGGTGATATTCACATTTTCCTGACACCACTTTAGCATTGCATCGTGTTGCTGCTTCTGTTCATTCCGGGATGAGAACTTGATACGGAATAAATCAGTCTTGTTTCCATTCTGGATGCCTGTGAAATATTGAGAATATAATGAGAAATTCCAGGAGTCAGGGTTATTTGAAATACTTCAATTATCATTTTCTCTAGTGTTTGGAGTCTCAGAAATATATCGTCAAAAGGCAGAACAAGCATTGAAGTAGTCGAAGTCGATAGCGAGGATATTTTATCGATGGCAAGAATATCTGCTATTGGTTTCTCATGACGTTGTTAGCATGGTCGTTTACGAGATAAACAGGGTCTGACAGGAAGGTATGGAGAATTCCAAAATGACGCCAAGAATGGTGGATAAAAACCTCATGTTTTCGAAATGGGTAGTATCTACTGAAAACCAGTTTCCACTGTAGTCGTTATGCAGCCGTGCCGTGGTCGATGAAAAGCATTCGCTCACTTCATTATTATTGTTTGGAATTCCCAAATCAACCACGGCGGCGTGGCGACTGAAATGGCAATTCGTGTTCAGTAGATACTACCTATTCCGAGAACATGACGATCTTATCCATGCTACTCGGCTCCTCTTTCAAACCTCCCATACCTGTCTGCCGGAGCATGTTTCATCAATTTTTCAGGAACTAGGACGTTCCAGCTATTAGAGCAACCTATTAATTGAAGTCTAGGCGTATAACGACGTTGTATCAACGAACCATTCCGAAAGCAAACCCCTATGTTCTGCTACAGGAAAACTGGATGTGTCAACTCTGCAGACTATATCGTTTGCTGAGAAATCTGAATGAGGCCATGCTGAAGTTTTGAGTGACTAACAATTTCACATCTTAGCAATTCTGGGAGATTTGAGTTCCGATTTTCAGCTGATGCTACACACTGTTTTGAGCGTTTTGATCTGCCTCAGAACAGATGAAAATCGATTTATGAAAAGTACTCAGATATGAAGTAGTCATCCAAGATTCGTCTTCTAGAAATGGTCCTCAACTTGAAACTTGCACTATTTCAGCATAAATTGATGTCTTTGTAAGCCATCAGATGGTTGACGATCTAGATAAAAATCGATTTCACATTATTATGTCAATGTATATTTTCATTATCCACTGGTTGAAGCCGAAAGTTTTTCATACGTCATCTCAGGAGAAGTTTAATAATTAAACAAAGACCAAGATATCTCATCATTATTGTTAGTAGTTATAATATTATTCAACACCAAAGTGAAAATGGTGTGGATAAGGTAACATCTCTATATTTGAATGTTTGCCTGGGAGTTTTGTTATCATTTTCTGTCTATCTCAATGGTAGTTGATATCAATAGGCAATATGTATCTTCCAGAGTTAAATCAATATCACAACATTTATCGATGATAATAATAATTATTATAATAATAATAAATTGCCTTTATTGTTTTTGTAATGTACATATCACAATAACCTCTATCTCACAATAAGGAGGGACAATTGACCTATCCAAGATGCTGTCAAACCATCCAAATCAATATGGCCGACTGTAGGCACACATACTTTCGTGTCGCAATATCTTTGTTATAGCGGTCCAAGGATAATGAATATCCACTTTTATTCAAAACAACCATTATTATTATTTGATATATCTACCAAAGATTATACTGCTGCTACGTAAATCAACAAAAAATACTTGTGTGCCTACAGGCGGCCATTAGAAATTTGTCAAAAGTCACGTGTTCTGGAATGCCAAATCGATTTCTTAAACACATATTGTGACTGAATCAGATATATCAATACTTGATTACATCAATCTATTTTGAATTCAAATGCATGCCTGTGTATATATATATATATAAATAAATATAAAACTAGTAGTTTAGTGGGGATGCAGCAAAAGTAAATGTGTACTCATTCAAGTTTGTCCGAGCTTTCGGAAATGTATATTTCCATCATCAGGGTAGACTACAAAATTGGAAGTATTATAATTAATTCACAATATTGAAAAAACTTTGTCACTTCCACTTATTGAGAATGGTTACTCTGTTGTAAAATTTGTAAAAATTAAAATGAATTTTCACACAAAATTCATCAGATCTGTGGATAACACAATCCTCATTGACTGGTATAGAAAACCATGCAGCTCAGGAAGGTATCTGAATTACCATTCCTACCACAGACACAAAATGAAGGTCAACTTAGTTAAGCAGATGAAAAACCGCATTACAAGAATCTCTGATATATCTTTCCACAGTAAGAATTTGAAAATACCTCATAACTTATTTGTTGATAATTCCTATCCATCTAAACTAATTAATAAAATATTATACAGTTCTCCTAGACCAGATCCTGTCATTGAAAACTCAATGAACATAGAACAGAATACAGTGGTTTCTAATACTGAACCAATTAGAATAATTTTTGCTTCAATTCCTTATTTCAGTGAACTAACTCCCAAGTTAACCAGAATCTTCAAACTCAACAATAACATTAAACTAGCTAACAAAACCGTGTTAACAATTAAATCAATTTATTCGAAAGTGAAAGATAAAATTCCTGCAATGGCACAAACCAATGTGATCTACAGTATCCCCTGTCAGGAGTGTGACAAACTCTATATAGGCCAATCAAAAAGATCCCTGGCCAACAGAATCACCTCCCACAGGAGCGACTCTAGATTACATCCATAAAGATGTGCTCTTGCAGATCATGTCAATAAAATGAATCATCGTATGGACTATGATTCAGCAAGAATTTTAGCAATTGAAAGTAACCTCACTAAAAGATCCTTCCTAGAAATGGCATTCATCTCACAAAATTCCAATTGCATTAATAAAAGAACTGATATTCAACATTTGAGTGAAATTTACTCATTTCTCAATCTCAATCTCGATTTCCTCATAGCATTTTGAACATCAACAATTCCGAATAATAACATACAGTCTTTTCTTAAAATTCTTCATATCAAACTTCTCCAGTAAAACCTGTTGCATTTTATGATCTGCCAACTGAGTAATTAATATGTTCCCCCTTTTTCTGTTCCATTGGGTTGAGATTTGAAGGATAACTAACATCAGTATGTACCATAAGGGTTAAGAATTCTGACTTACGACCTACTCATGTCAACCTAAGGAAGAGAAGAAGAAGAAACATTCTAACCTACATTCTGCAGATTCGTAAAATCGTTTCAACCACGTTGGATTTGAAAATTCAAACTTATTCATGAGATGAGAAGTAGCCTCTTATCTAATCATGATTATAACTAAATAATTTCTTTTAACTTGTTTTTCGTCTCATCAGTATGTTAATGTTAACAATTTTACAAATTTTACAACAGAGTAACCATTCTCAATAAGTGTAAGTGACAAAGTTTTTTCAATATTGTGAATTAATTATAATACTTTCAATTTTGTAGTCTACCCTGATGATGGGAATATACATTTCCGAAAGCTCGGACAAACTTGAATGAGTACACATTTACTTTTGCTGCATCCCCACTAAACTACTAGTTTTATCTCTAACTGGTCAGCAAAGACTTCCCTTCCTTAATAAATATATATCTATACTCAGGCGTGCCTCCCCCCCCCCCGATCTCATGAAGCCATAACAAATAGATAAATTCATATAGCATATAGCAACCAATCCAGATGAGCTAATGACCATACTGCATACTAAGAACCTGTTCTTCTACTGATTCATGCTTTTAATGATGTTTCAAGTAGCTCAATGATCGTGTTTTGTAACCATTAGACAATGAATTATATACATTAGCAGATTTGAATGAAAAGCTTCTGTGAAATCCAGACAGACGAAATCTAGGCAGCGATAGAGTAAATGCATTGCGAATATTCCGGTCGTGCATGTTAGCTCGGAATACGAACTTATCTTTCAGATATGGTGGCGTAGATGTTGACAATATTCGAAAAACCATAGCACTCATATGGTATTTGAATAAATTTTCAATTCTTAACCAACCTATAGTTCGTTAATTTTCCTCGACACTCTATCATATTCCGAAGATTGAGAACAAATCTACAACAGTAATTTTCGATTTTCTGTAACCCCTGTTTAGTAACTTGATGTAGACAGGGAAAGTATGATATTGAGCCATAATTCAAAATGGATAAAACTAAGGTTTCACAGAGTTTTTCCCTGAGCGCAAATTCAAGAAACTGTCTATTTTCATATGATTGCCTGAGTACAAGGTACGATTTTTCAAATAAAAGTGAAACATGCTCTCCAAATCGCAAGCTACAGTCGAATATTATTCCTAAATTCCTTTCACTTTGTGCAATTTTCAGTGGTTGATCTTGAATTATAAGCTGCATGTCTTTTGCTACATCTATGTTGTAATTTGAACGGATAATCATGGTACTGCATTTCTTTGGATCAAGTTTGAGGTTGTGAGCACTGGAATAAGTTTGCGAAGACGAAATATCACTATAGATACATTCAGCAGCATGTGCAGCAAATTTAGGGTCGAACGAGAAGTACAGTTGAGTATCATCGGCAAAAGATTGAATGTTCACATATTTTATTGATTTTTGAATGTCTGAAACAAATATTAAATAAAGTAATGAGCCCAAAAGCGATCCTTGCGGCACACCTGATGTAACTGATGAGAATTCAGATGAAACCTCACATATCACAACTTTCTGCATACGGCTATTTAAATAGTCGCAAAAAAACTTGCAAGAACTGGCATCAAAACCATAATATTCAAGTTTTGCGCATAAAAGTACATGATCAATTGTGTCAAATGCTTTCGAGTAATCCAATAAAACTACAGACGTAGCAAGCCCCATATCTAATGATCTAATTATGTAATCAGTAATATTTAGCAGTAATGTCGATGTACTGAATCCTCTACGAAAGCCGGATTGAAAATTTGGAACAATGTTATTTTCCATCACAAATTCATATATATGTTCTGCTACTAGGTACTTGTTCAAGAATTTTAGATATTGCTGGAAAAATACTTACAGGGCGCAGATCGCCAAAAGAGGTGGGATTAGCTATCTTGGGAAGTGGCTTAATAATAGAACGTCTCCATGTTGCGGAGAAATATCCTGTTTCCAGACAACAATTGATTATATGAGTTGAGTAAGGTGCTATAACTGGCAAACAAAATCGGAGCATTTTTGCGGAAATATTATCGCAACCCAACGCATTTGATTTCAAATCTATAACAATTTGTTTCACTTCATCTATTGTTGCTTATTTGAAAGAAAATTGAATACCCGAATTGAATTTTTTCGATTTATAATAGTTAGTCATTTCAGGACAATTAATTTCCGAAGTAAAAACAGA